AAAAAAATCAGAGTTGTCACCCGCTTGAAAAATTATGTCATCAGTTTGTCATCTTGCTAAACAAACGGATCATACAAACTATGGTGGTAACCTGATGATAAAATTTGATGACACGATCATGACAAACAAATAACAAACGCAAAATTCAGAAACAACCTTATGATTCTCCTTCACGTTTAAGTCGGCCGTTTGTCAACCAATTCTCATCCGTTCGATATCGCAGCTAAGGAAGGGAAGGCCCATATAACTAGGCTCATAGACTTGCTGTAAGAAGGGAGGGGGAGTAGGAGGGGAGCATCCATCTCCTCACCTCTCACCAGTCGACGAGCCCACCTAAATCAGCGTTTTACAGTCAACTCAGTTGTTCTGATACTTGAAGAGTAAAGTTAGGGGTGCAAAAAGAAAACGGTAGCATACTTCAGGATGAGGTGGCATTTATTTACAGGATGTGGCGCAACAGTTACGAGAGACTAGAACTTATTGCTGACAAAAATATTAACTAACTACAAATCAGTCTGTTTCTTCTCATCAAACACATGAGACTCCTACCACGCGTTGTAGCCCAGAGATGAGGCTCCGTAGGCGAGGGATCCGCCGTAGGCACCGCCGTAGGCGAGGGCGGGGGCGGCGTACGAGTGGCTCTTGATGACGGGCACGGCGTGGGGGACGGGCACGGGGACGGCCACCTTGTTGATGACGGGCACGGCCACAGGCTCGTGGACGGGGTAGGGGACAGGCTCGTGGACGGGCACGGGCACGGCGTGGGGCACAGGGACGGGGACGGCCCTCTCAACGGGCACGGCGTAGGGCTTGTCGACGGGCACGGCGTAGGGGGCGGGCACAGGCACGGGGTAAGGCCTGTCGACGGGCACGGCCACGGGGTGGGGAACAGGCACGGCGATGTTCCTCTCCACGGGGACGGCGTAGGGGGCGGCCACGGGGACTCCGATCTTCCTGGCGATGGTGGTGTGCGAGCTCTCAGAGATCAGCTTGGCGTGGCCTAGGCCGGAGTATCCAAGACCAGAGTAGCCGAGGCCAGAGTAGCCCAAGCCGGAGCTGAGGCCAGAGTAGCCGAGGCTAGAGTAGCCGAGGCCGGAGCTGAGGCCGAGACCAGAGTAGCCCAAGCTGGAGCCGTAGCCCAGGCCGGAGCCGAGGCCGGAGTAGCCGTAGCTGGAGCCGTAGCCCAGGCTGGATACCAGCCCGCGCTTGTTCACCTTCTTGTCGCCAGCGGCGACAACGGCGAGCACGGCGACGAGCACGACCTGCAGGAGAAGCAGAACAAGACGTTTGAAAAATACACCAGAAATGCGGAGTCTCGCAAAGCGCACGCTAATATCAGTTGTATTACCAAAGCAAAACGCTTTATTGAGTACTCACTAGCTTGTTCATGATTGCTGTTGTTGGTTGATGGGGAACCAAACGGCGAATGATACCACAGACTGCGCCACCCGCTGCTTTTATATGACCGCCACTCCACCCTCTCTGTGCAGGTGAGGTGAGGTGCGGTGCGAGGGGATTGGGCGGGGCGGGCCTGAACCAAGTGGGGGGTTTCGGGAGCGCACTGCACTGCTGGACACGTTCAAGGTGGGTTCATACACGGGCTCCCCCTCCTTATCCGTCCGACACCTATCCACCTCTCTCTCTCTCTCTCTCTCTCTCTCTCTCTCTCTCCCTCCCTCTCGATTTGTTGGGGAGTCGGGTTTCGGATTTGGCCAAGTGTCACGTCACACCCGGCCGCGTTCAAAAATTACACTGCCGTCTAAACGGACCGAACCGAGCGGACCGCGCACGACGCCTTCTTATTCTATCCACCTCTCTCTCTC